AGGGCCACAGCTGGCTCACCAGCCAAAGCTGGTGAAAGACACCGCTAGCCACTACTGACGCTTGTTTATCAAACAGGAGGCCTGATTCCAGCAGCACTCAACAGAATCCTGCCTTTCTCCACAATTGAGACCCAAAGAAGCTTGCATCATTCTCCTATCCATTATATTCTCACAGCAACCCTATGAGATAGAGTAGGCTGATAGTCTGAGACTGAACTAAAGTCACCTAGTGAGCTTCTGAGCATGTATTTGGACTTGGGTCTTCAGATCCTAATCCGAAACTCTAACCATTATACCACCGTGGCTTTTGTGAGGTGGCTGCTGTCAAACACCAGCATATAGCTTGGTCTGCATGAATCATGCAAGTCACATGATGGGAAGTCACCCAATCATTACTACCAACCCTGGCCTCAATGAGTCCTCCCTCAAAGGTGGTGCCACATTGAGAGTTAGAGACATGGATATGTCTAGTTCTCTTTATCTGTTACTAGGAATAAGGCCAGTTGTGGAAATAAATACAACGAGATCTAGGAAGAGGCTCTGGGAGAATGCCCTGGTCTTGGGCACTCAGCGTCAATTTGCTGTGGCCACCTCAGCAGGGTATAATGACAGAGAGTCCACCATTTTCTCCTTGGAAACTGATCTCTGCCATCTGAAGAGCAGTTGTAATTCTGCATGAACTCCATCCCTCCCCTGGAGACTGGTAACAATGGTTCCCCATGAGGGAATGGCTGGCTTGGAGGATGGTGTCTATGGCATCACACCTGTCTGAGGTCCCACCCCTCCTCAAACCTCACCCTCTCTGGGCTCCACCCCTCAGATCTCCAGAAATTCCCCAACCTGGAGTTGGCAACCCTATCTCCCTCCCAGCCCACCATCAGCTTACTGTTATCTGCCCCCTGGCTTCAGCTTTCCATCTCCTCCCCCTCCCTCCTAGAGAGCAGGTGTAATACTGAGTGATCTCCAGCCACCACCTGGAGATTGGCAACAATGGTTTCCCATGAGAGAATGCCTGGCTTGGAGGGTGAAGTCTATGGCATTGCACCCCGCTGTTTGAAGTCCCCCCCCCCTCAAACCTCGCCCTCTCCAGGCTCCACTCCTCAAATATCCAGGAATTTCCCACCTGGAGTTGGCAACCACCCCCTCCCAGCCTACTGTCAACCTGCCGATATCTGCCTCCTGGCTTCAGCTTTTCATCTCCTCCCCCTCCCTCCTAGACAGCAGGTGTAATTCTGAGTGTTCTCCAGCCCCCACCTGGAGATTGGCAACAGTGGTTAGCCATGAGGGAATAGCTGGCTTGGAAGGTGGAGTCCATGGCATTGCACCTGTCTGAGGTCCCACCCCTCCTCAAACCTCACCGTCTCCAGGCTCCATCCCTCAAATCTCCAGGAATTTCCCACCTGGAGTTGACAACCCTATCAAGACCGTATCCAATGAGTTTTCTCCCAAAGGCCAAAATAGGTGTGGAAAGGGCCTTTTACTGACAGAACCTGGTTGCCTAGCAACAGGCACTGGGGAGAAAGGACAGTTGCCACCTCTGATTAGGGAAATACCTGGAAATTTGGGGGGTGGATCCTATGGAGGGCAGCATTGGGGGGGATGGAAGGACTCAGCAGGGGATAATTCTACCCTCCAAAGCAGCCATTTTTTCAGGGGAACTGATCTCTGTCATCTGGAGATCAACTGTAACAGCAGGAGATCTCCAGGTCACATCTGGAGACTGGCAACCCTAGGGGAAAGTCAGCCACATAGCAGGGGGTTGAAGAGAACGGTTTGATGGTCGCTGGCCCACCTCATTAGCCAGCCAGCCATGGTTGAGCCAAAAAGGAGATAGAGCCGGTTAAATGTATTCTGACAGGAAAGTGGCCAAGATGGCAGTGGGCAGGAGAGGGGGTTATGCTGACAGAAGTTGGTTGCCTACCAAGAGCCACTGAGGGGACAGTTAGTCACAGTTAGGCCCACACAGGAGCCAAGAGAAGTGTCTTCCTCAGGATAGAGTCTGGCTTTCCAGGAGCCACAGCTCGTTTCCTCCAGGCCAGACCTTCCCTGGCGCTGCCGCAGCTGCTGAAGGATGGCGGGGGAGGCTTTGAAAGGCGCTGGACAGCCTTCTCTGCGGTGCAGCCCGCTGAGCTATCGCCCTGACAAAGTGCTGGCCTTGCGGCCGAGGGAGAGCAAGAGGGGCTGCGAGGGACAGCGAAGGTGAGTGCTTCCCCTGCTTGCCACTGCTTGCTAGGTCTGCCTCCTTCTCCCCTGTGGAGGGGTTGCTGCTGCCTTGGCAGAGCGTCCATCCCCTTCGCCGGCTCCAGACTGAGAGTAAAATGCTGCCCACCGGCTACGGGATTCCGAGTCCGCGAGAAGGGCAGCTGAGCGGGCCAAAGACTGGGGAGGCGTGTGGAACATCTCACATGAAAACTCTTATATATAAGGAGAGATAAGGGCTTGTACTAAATTTTTAAAATATTTGTATAGATGATTTTTAGTGAGGTAATTGGTGAATGATAGGGTTCCGGTCTTCTATTGCAGACTTATGAATTGCTGAATAGTAGAGTTCCTGCATCTTATTGCTTTATCGTGCAGCTCTTATTGATTTTTTTGCATGCTTCTGATTTTTTTTGTACATTAGTTTACTTCCATGTTTTATGGTTATTTCATTCCTTATTCTTAATACTGTGGGAAAGGTTTTATGAAGGAAACCTCTTTCAGTTTTGTAAACAAATACATTACACCTCATCCTTAACTGTACTAACTTTATAATGTGTTTGTAGTCTAGGAAAACTCTTCATGGATGCCCTCCTCTTTCTAACACTAGAAAGGCAAAGTTTGCTACAAGGGTTACGGAAGCTGTAAAGTTTCTGAATCTGACTTGTTTTCTTCTTCTCAACCATGCCTGTGGTCACACCAAAGGCTTGGCGCGATCTGGCAGCACCTCTATTTACAGTGGCTTAAATTGTCTCAGGAAGGGGTGCACTTGCCCCATGGTTGACTGTTCAGATTATTGCTGTGGGGCAACCATGGAGTGGGTGATCAGGTGGCTTCTTTTTTTAAATTTGTCTTTTGCATATGTGCATAACCACTTATTTGAAGCTCCACTCTGTTTTGACAGCTGGAAGAGGCTGTCTTCCCCTTTGAAGAAAGCTCATCTTTTCAGTTAACCCCTTCCCCACCCTGTGTGCTGCAGAGCTGTAGGCAGAGGAAGTGGCATAAAAAAAGACAAAGGAGGCTTCTCAGCCTGCCCTTCCCTCCTCCCCCCTTCTCACTTCAGAGGACAACTATAAGCTTGCTGGTGTGCACAAAGATGCGGTTATGCACACATTGCAAACTGACTAAAAAAACCAAGGTGCAAAAATGGAACAGAGCAATCAGAACTCAAGGGAGTTCAGACATCATAACATAACATAACATAACAGATGCCAATGTTGGATCAGGCCAAAGGCCCATCCAGTCCACCACTCTGTGTTACACAGTGGCCAGAAATACCAGTGCCATCAGGAGGTCCACTAGTGGGGCCAGGACATTAGAAGCCCTGAAATGCGGGGCGAAAGCACCGATATCTGTAAGCACTGGACTTCCCCCAGTGCCTGCTTACTCCACTTCCAAAGTGGGGCAGAACGGGGTGGTGACGACTGAGGCACAGAAGGCAGATGTTGCTGTCTGATCATGCTTTTTAAATCCGCAGAGGTACCGCAACGATATGTGCAAACTGCTCATGTGACCACAGCCCAAGTCAAAGTTACATACACTAAAAAGACCACTATACAAAACAGTGAGATGCCAGTCTAAACCTAAATGGCTTCAGCCAAGTAACTTTGATGCCAGATAAAAACATACTGCAGCTGAGACCCACTCAATACCAGATGATAGGGTGAACAACAAGAATGCCTGTTGTACTTGGCCACTGTTGGAAACAGGACAATGGATCTTTGGTCTGATCCTGTATTTTGTATTATTTGTAATTATTTTGTATTGTATTATTTTGTAATTATTTGTAAATAAACAATTTATTGCAAGAAAAATAACAATCAATTAAATTTTCTCTTCATCAGTCAGCCCACTGGGAGGATTTTTATTCTGCCTGTATATCAGCTTTCAGTTGAAAACTTTCACTTTCCATTGCTTGTTTAATTTATTCCATAGTTTGTCATCAGCACTTTCTTCCTCAGTCAAGAAATACTACTGGGATTCCTTAAAATGCTTTTTATTCAAATTCTCTCATTGTTATGATTGAATGTATCAATGGGATGAAAACGAATTTTCAGATTGACTTCTGATAGCTCTGATTTGTCGCCTTTGGTGACTCTGGCTGTAGAGTTGACTTCATTACAGTTTTCTTTCTGGGTTACATTTAGTAATGGTTCAAAGTCAAAGGAAAAAACAAAACAGTGCATAAACATTTGTGAGATTTGAGGGGAATGAAGAAAATTAACCAGTTAGTCTCCACATCTGTTTAATTCCAGAAGAGTAGCAATGTTCATCTGTTGCATCAAAAACATGAGCTCAAAGATCAACAGATTTATTTGACACAAGCATTTACAGGCAAGAGCCCCACTCTCATCTTGACCACTGCATCAGGCTGTCAGTGGCCACTTGCAGCAGCAGCAGCAACAGCAGCAGCACTGGGGCCTTAAAGGGCTCAAACTGTGCCATAGCTGCCCAGGTGGGCCTCATCCTAATTGTCCAGGTACCATTGGGTAAGTCTTGGGGAGGTCCCAATCCCAGGCAACAAAGACAAATGTTTTTCAAATGTAGCTGGGTTAAACATCTGCTACAATTAGTGAAACAAGAACTAGAAGATTTATTGCACACTTATTGACATATGCAATCAAATAACATAATGGATTTTCTCACAAAACGGTCATATAAACCTTTGAAATGTTTGCAGTTTCTGAAGGACTATACTGAAATTAATGAGCACTTTTCATGTTCATATTTTTAAAAGGCCACAGTATTATCTTGCGATCTGTAGATAACTGTAAGCTTTTCCTTTCTTATTCCATCCCCAGGAATTCTTTCATAGACATTTTACGGGCTATTCTGTTATCCTTAGAAGTTCTCATTGAAGACCAAGAGCTTCAGATAAATGGCTTCATTCTAATTATAGACTGGAGCAACTTCTCCTTCAAGCAAGCCTCCAAATTAACACCTTCTATCCTCAAACTGGCCATTGAAGGTTTACAGGTAAGTAGACTGGGAGAAGCACGCATATGCTACCCTGAATCGTATCTTTAATGCTTAATGGAAGAATAACATTTCATTCTCATTATGCAAAGAAGAGAAAATCAGTCTGAAAATCCTTTGAATATTATACAGCTGCAATTTGTTCAAAACACCAGACATTTGTTTGCTTATTACTTGCATTTAGATTCTGAGCTGTTCTTAAAACAGGGATGTACTACTTACTACAGCCATTAAGAATAATGTGTAGAGATTTGAGGTTTAATCCACAAGAGACTTTCTGAGGATTAAAAATCTGCGACATCTGCCTGATAGAAGCACATGCTGCACACATGAGGCATCTCTGCATATATGCTGCATGGTGTCTGGAGGCACCGTTGAACCTCAGTTTCTTAATGTGTTTGTATTACCAAAAGGCCATTTTTGTTTTTAAAAATGTGAACAATTAGAACCAGAGCAGCTAGAGATATATATGCACTGTGCAAAGGAGCTTTGTCATTGTGCAGTTTAAGCTTCCAGTTGCCAACTCTGGCTTGGGAAATTCCTGGAGATTTGGGGATGGAGCCTGAAGAGGGCGGGGCTTGGGGAGGGGGGAACTCAGTGGGGAATGTGATTCCACAGGGTCTACTCCCTGAAGCGGCTATTTCCCCCAGGAGAACAGATCTCTTGAAAAGTACTAAGACTTACTAGCAATTTCAGCTCTCATACTTTATTTCAGCGCAGAACCAGACAACTCTAACCCGCTCACAGGCCGGTTTATATGTGCAACAATCCCACACCCAAAACACACCCACACACAAGTGATTGGCTATTTAAGAAGAGCTATAATCGGTAGGGCGGCGGGATGCTGCGCCTGCCGATAGGCACTGACTAGGATCCGCTTGTCCCATTGTTACTGCGAGCGAAGCTCAGCTGCTTCGCATGACTGCGTGGCGAATTAGCCATGCACGCGGTCTGAGATGGATACATTACATCTCTGTAGTCTGGAGATCAATCAATGGCTGGATTCCCCATTGTGGACAATCATTAATCCACCTGGAGGCTGGCAACTCTAATGGCAAACCTGAGCTACATAGACCTAATAAGGTCTGTCATCAGCCACAAAGAGCTATCAACTATATATATGTTTTTAAAGCTATATTTCACTCTAGAACATATTGCATTGGAGAGTGTTTAGGCATTGCAGGTGCCAGAAGTCAACATATGACAAAATAAATGGAAATGGAAGCAGGACAAGGAATGGTGCTGTTCCAAAAGCAGTATAGTAAGACCAGTTAAAAGAGCCTGTGCATAAGGAGGCAGTTGTCTCTGAAGTCTGAAGTCTGAACATCAGTTGAGTGCACAGAAGCCTTCTCTTCTCCAGACTCTCCAAAGAACCTTCCTTGATTTCAAAGTCTGAATTAGTAAAGCTCTGTTGTATTCATTTAGTTAAGCACTTTCACACCATAATAGGCAATTAGCTGGATTTGAAAAAGCTACAGCAAAAGACCTTTATACTTGGACATGCAGTGTCCTTTTAAGTTATGAATCGTGATCTCTTTGCAGAACGGCATTCTCCAGCTCCAGCATAATAACTGCCTCCTGCTAATTGTGCATTATTGAAGCAGCTCATCTAATTTTTATACCTTTGCTTGCAAATAGACATCTTAACCGACACTAATCTGAATAACAAGCTACTGTAAGCAGACATTTTTATTGACAAAAGGGACTGTGCATGGGCATGTTTATTTTAACAGACTGCAATATCTGTATTGATATGTGGCCATCCATTCCTTCCCATTCTTGTTTCTAATACAAAACAGAAGCCATCACTGTGTTAGTGTGAGGTAAGGTAATCTGAAATACGCTATGCCCTTTGCATCAGGTGAGTGGGTTGGATCCAGTCTACCTTTTCTGCAGACACAAGGACTTTCCACAGGGTATGATTTTCCTCTTTCTCATGGGTGTCTGAAAGCCCCCCCAGAAATCCTGTTCCTGGTGGTCTCCGTTTTGGGTTTCCGCAGGAAGGGGGATGCAGGAAAATTGTGTTCTGCAAGCAGAAGTCCTTGAACCCACAGAAACACTTGTTGGGATTCACAGAATTGTAATCATAGAATCACAGAGTTGGAAGGGCTATCTAGTCCAACCTCCTGCTCAGTGCAGGATCATTGTTGTGTTGACCACCCTCATTACTGCATTCAATCGTATCAGAGCCACTTGGTTAATTTGTTTGATCAGAAACTTTCTTAACTGCATAACAGGGAAATACTGTGTATGTGCCACAATGATGCTTATGTGAATGCTATTTTTCACTTTCTGAGGGCATTGTTTAAAGAAGGAGGAGGAGGAGGAGGAGGAGGAGATTGGATTTATACTCCGTCCTTCATTTGGAGTGCCAGAGCGGCTTACAAACTCCTTTCCCTTCCCCTCCCCACAACAGACACCCTGTGAGGTGGGTGGGGCTGAGAGAACTCTGACACAAACTGCTCTTTTTCAAGGACAGCTGTGCCAGAGCTTGCAACTGACCCAAGGTCACATCAGCAGGTGCAAGTGGAGGAGTGGGGAATCAAACCCGGTTCTCCCAGATTAGAGTCTGCACATTTAACCACTACACAAAATTGGCTCTAAAGATAGCTTTAGCCCTGAAAAATATATTTGAAAGTGTTTTATTTATTATTTATTTATTGAGACATTTGCTCTTTAAGCTACCATTCTTTATATGCCTTTTTGAAGCCAACCCCACTGAACAGCTAGTTAAAGTGGTCGTGGTCAGCTTGACATATTTCCCAAACATTTTGAGCCTTTTGTTTCAAGCAGCTGGTAATGCAAGGTAGACTGGGGAGCTCTCTCTGAGCTGTCAGTAAAGGAGACCTTTGCAAGGATGCCTACTCTTTCTGAAAA